TTGGGTAAATATGATAATATTCCGTTTGAGTGGTTCTAACGTTTACCATGAAATTACTCCTTAAAGTATAGTTTATAAACATTTATATTCAGGGTAAACTTAAAAAACGCTGCTTACGGTATGTTTTCAATAAATAAACACCGAAATCACCAGCCCAAACAATAACACACATGATTGTCGTGACGTATTTTTGAACTTGTTTATTTTTTTAAATGACAAACCCAGGCATTAAAAACTTTATGGTTTGCTAGAGTAGTTACCGAAATAGCAATTAATATTAGTTTTTTACCTGTTATAACTTCGATATCCGAAAAATCGGTATAAAATCATCACCAGCACCTCTAGGTGTGGTATTCGTCTACGGCTGCATGTATCGCCTGAGCGGTTAGGGAGGCTTGTCGCTTTCACATTATGGATTGAAAACCATCCGTATGTGGTTCTGGAAACATTATTGATGAGCTGCAGTAGCGCGGCAGTTCCAACAGCATTCTGAATGAATAGTTATATTGCACACGTGATGCGCTTTTTGAGTAAATGCCATCCATAGATTGCAGGTGTAAAACGATTGGTTTAAAAGCGAGGTTTACAGTAGTAGTGAAGGTCACCCTGTTAAAACGGTAGCAGGTTTTGAACAGGGTGACCTTCACTACTACTGTAAACCCCGCAGATCTACGGATCAACATATTACTCCTTACAGTTGGCGCCCTTTCTTTTTTTTTTGACGGGGGGAAATCTTTATGGATACCCCTGAGCCCAGGGAGACTCAGGGGTTATGTGGGGACTCTCCCTCCACACTGGAACGCCTACCCCACTAAAACCCCCCCGGGTTTCCCTCTCGCCGGTTGAGTCGGCGCCGTGGGATCAGTGAACATTCACCACGACGCCGCCCGGCCGCCCTAGCTTGCACCAGGGCTCCCGCGCCAACGGAGGGACGAGTCGGTTGTCCTCCGACCCGCCCCCCAGACGAGTGAGGCCGTGCAATGCAGGCTCCGGAGTCCCTGTCCAGAGCCCGCTGGTCTCACTAGGGGATCAGGCGAGCAGCGAACTGCCTTCGCTTTCTCCCCGTACGTCTGCGCCGGAGCGGGTGCGCGTCCGCCGCGTCCTCGCGCACCCGCTCCGCGGCCTCCTTTTGCGACATAACCTCTGTGCAAAAGGAGGCCATCGCCTCCCAGGACTCCTCGCTATCGAGCATGGCGGCAACCACGCTCGGCAACGAGAGGTCCTGACAGTTGGCGCCCTACGTTCTCCCTCTATGTCCATGTCATCTTTTAGTGACTCGGTGACCCAGTGCACCAAGTATTTAAATTCCGACACTGTTTCAAGAGGGGGCTCTCCTCCCGACAGTGACTAATGGTACAGAACGATACTGTTTAGCACCTGGCTTAAACACCAGCATTCCACTTTTGTTTGCGTTATACTTGACGCCATGGGTCTCTGCATTTCGCTCACATAAAAGAGATACGTTTTCATTTACATTTCTTGTGAACTCTTATTAAAGATTAAAACAAAAATCTTTTAAGTGTTTTCCTTACTAGTGCAGAAAACAAGAAAGGACTTGAAATTTGACTTTCAAAAACTATATTTTGAGTTAATTACCAACAATTACTTTAGTAGGTAATCTTTGACACTAATCTATTTTAAACACATTATTAAAAGTTATAGCTAATTGGATTTGTTATCGTCGTATTGAGTTCTTTTATTGTAATAAATTAATGTTTTAATTGCTGTTATCAATTCAATACATACCGGTACAATTGCATAATTAATAATACGTTGCATTGACAACTGATATTAACGCTAGTTTCATTAATCGCTTAACATAATTAGACCTCTTTGAATTCCAAAGACCCAAAACAGCGTCTAAATACGATGTTGTAGGTAATTAAACTTCACAAAAAAGTAAGTTGAGTGAAAATGTCGTCATACCCGCTAGTCCGAAAAAACAGAAGTAGAGGAACGTAGGCTGAGATTGAAAGAGGCATAACTTATACTGTTACAAGTATGATCTCGGGAATGACAACTCTTGTATAAAAGTTGGTAAGTCAATTGGATCGTAAAATGAAATACAACAATAACGTATGCATATGCTGTTCCTTGTGTTGTTTATTTCCTGAACAATTATGTACAGATAACTGGAAGTATACAATTACCATTTCCATCCAGTCCAAAGAACAAATACCAATATGGCGTATTATGACAATTTCATACTGTGATAAACGGAACTCGGCAAGACAGCGAGACATGGTGAAGTCAGAGAGACAGACAGACAGAGTGAAGCTACTAGCGAAATTATATAAAAAAATGGCACAAAACACGAGAGGCTTACACCCAGCAGTGGGGGAAGCCGGGATGTAGACGATGTTGATATAATCTCAGCACAGAGTACTAAAAAAACAGACCTCAAAAGTACATGGAATTATGTCTGTTTGCTAACTTTTATTGAAATATCCCCTAGTTCGCCACTATACAGGACTTGACACTGGAGATAATAATAATCGGTTCTCACTACTCAAAGTATATTGACAGAAAAACGCCTTGAATTGGAGAAATAGCAAAATCAACCATTAAAATAATTGCTCCTAAATTAAAGTTAGGCGCTATTTATAAAAATGAATCTTCATGCGTGAACAGCCAACCTAAAAGGTGGATGATTTTCTTCAAAATTAAATGGGACCACTATGAAAGTACCCCCTTTCCAACATAAAAAGAATCATGAAAATCGGTTCACAAATATCGGAGTTATCGCATAACATACATAAACAAAAAATAACATACAGTCGAATTGAGAACCTCCTCCTTTTTTCAAGTCGGTTAATAAAATGTGGCAAGTACTATTCATAATTCATAACTCATTTATTTACAGAAGCAGATTGTTTAAAAAACACATAACGTGTTTGTGAAAAAAAAAGGTGTTTGTGAGTCGATCGACGTGGTTGAGTTCTGGGCCACAATAGTACCTACGCCATCGATACGATATTTTTGCATTAAGAATTTTTTTGAATTAACACATGCTAAAAAGGAATGATAATATATTGTAATAATCTTTATTGTCTCTGCAAAGGTTACACTGTACACATACATTAATTATTATATGTTATAGAGCACAATTTTTGCAGAAACTGGTGCCTGAACTAGGTTGATCCTGTATTTCAGGTCGCCAGGTCTCTACCTCCGTAAAAATCAATAACATTGTACATTTAAGTATAGGCAAAATAATGAATTTTGGTCAGACAAAATTTAAAATAAAGACTGAGTTACTTAAATAATTATGCTAAGATTATGCAGTACAAAAAAAGTGCAATTGCTTAAGTGTGTGTTGTATGTGTGTGTGTCTGTGTCT